TGAGCGTAGAGGCACGGAGCAGGGGGCTTGCTGGGCCCGCCAGAGCCCCTCTCGGCCAGCGCCTGCCCGAGCCAGGATCATCCCTGCCCACGCCGGCCCATGCTAACCCATTGTCTGCCCTCCTAGCAAAACCGCGCACCCCTGTGCCAGCGGCGGAGGCAGGGTTCAGCCACGGCCTTCCCCAGGCCTGGGTGTGTGGCACCGTGTGGCCGTACCCGACCTCGCCCGGGACAACCCCAGTTGCATCGCTCCAGGGCGAGGGGGGCACCTGCCCCATCCTGTGCCCCTGCCCATGTCATTCCCCTAGATAAGATGCTCTTGGGAGCCAAGGCCCTGGATCGGCATCAGGTCAAGTGTCTGCATGTCTGGAGGTCGATGTCACAACCCTGTTGAATACCCTGTCATTATCAAGCATCTCCATCTTTGTTCCCATTAAAAATGAGGGAGACGATACTACTGTTGCTATTAATGTTACTATTTAAATTTCTAGCCCGCTCTATCCGCAAGTGGTCAGAGCAGTTTATATATAAACAGGACGTATCTGTAGCCAGGTACTCGGAGCATAGCATCTGACAAAGTAAGCCTGAAGCTTGTGGAAACTCGTGCTGTACGTCTCTGATTTAGTCTCTAAGGTGCCACTGTGCCCTGCCTTCTGCCTGACATGACTATTTACCCCCTCTCACAGGTCGTAGAGAGGGGAGTCAAGCAATTGGACAGTTGTGAAGGAGCGAGCATTTCAGACGTATAATTACAGCAAATTACGTTTCTCTGGGGAAGTCGAAAAGGAATTGAAATGTGCAGAAAACAGACCTTGCAAGTGTATAGTTATCTGTAGACTAGACTAGACAAGTTTTCCTAGTGGTTTTTGCCAATGTAGGTAGCAATATTTAGCCAATGGGAAAGTGCCTCGTCCACCTTTATGTCACTAGGAAAAGCCCAGGAACACAGTTACCATGCCAGGTACTGGCTACTGCCACTCCACCTGTCTTCTAGGCCCTGTCATTTGCACAGTGCTTCCTTGTCTAAAGTGGAGTAATATAAGCTGGTGACATGATATTTGTCTATTGGGCCATGAAGATCACAGTGGCCTTCACAAGGTCTGACCTCAGGCATTGGAAGCCTTCTGCAAAAGCAGAGCTTTACTGCAATTGTTTGTTTTTAATTTATGGGATAGTTTGTTCTCAGTATAATTCAGAAGGAGATTTGTGATCTACTAATCTTGGTTAACCCGGCTATTGTTTAACTAAACTGGAGGGAACAGGTGCTCAACACTTCTCAGGAAAAGAGAAAGTATAAACTGCAGGTTGTAACACTTATAAACTTATGTGAACACTTCTTATCTTTACTCAAATTCATTTGCACACTAAAGATCTTACTTGTGTGATTAACACATTGTAAATGAAGCTTGATATATCAGCAGGAAGTCCAAAATTTTCTTGTTATGGCTGATTTTCTTTCTGCTTCTTGTTACATTAATCACACAAATATGTGGTAACTTATCTTCCCAAGAGCTTAGAGAGATACGTGATGGACTCAGCAAGTAGTGTCTGCCAACTCATAACAGCAAAGAAAAATAGATGATCACAGGACTGAAGAGTGTTGAAAGGATTTTGGAACTGGGCTCTTGTATAAAATCAAGAAGAACAAGAATAAAAAAAATACTGGTCCAAAGTCTAGGATTTGTTCCATTTAATCCAAGAAGCAGTGCTAAGAAAAAAGCACTACAGTGGGCTGAGAGATCAGTGACAATTTGATCTCTCCCAAGCCATGAGTGCTCAAAAAGAATCCTTTATAAAATGAACTTAGTCTTAATATAGAAATTGCCTCCCGGATGCCTTTCTGCTGATTAATAATCAGATGGACTGTTTTTTCTCCAGTTCAAGTTTATATAACATCCCTGTGCCAAACACAGTGACTACTTATGTAGGAAATTAATATTAGGATAGTGTTCAGGGCATTTTCAACGGCACAATGGGCAGCTAGCAACCCAACTCTAATTGATGTTAACAAGGGTTTGGCAACTCATTCCCACTTCTGCTTCTGCTAACAACTACTGAAGTCAACAGTGGTTGGGCAACTCATTCCTACTTCTACTTTCAAAAAGATTCTTCTTGGTATTTGATCAGGTGTCTGTGACCAATCGCTTGACCACAGACCAACAGCAAATGTTCCACAAACCACTGGCTATCCACAAACCTGAACTGAGAATTTGCTGTAGGGCTATTGGAAAGCTGAGATTCTTTTCTACATCTGAGACTGTATAAGATACCAGATTTTCTGATTATTGGTAATTCATGGCGAGAAAGTGTTGACACACTTTTTGGGAGATCAGTCATCTCAATCTCCAGTCTTGGACCAGTGATCAGAAGGCAGAGTTTGATCTCCAAAGTACTTCTCAAAAAATCAAGTACCTTAAGTGGGGTGACTGCCTTCATTTGTATAAATTCCTTAATTCTATTTATATCTGTCTCTCTAAAATATTTTCAGAAGCCTGGTTCGCTGACTTAATTTCAGTGTAGTTTGGTCAGGTAATGGGGTTTTGCTACTTTAACTATCACCAATTGGAGATGTAGTTGCATGTGTAATCTTGCTTGAAATTCAGAAGCATCTGACAAATTGAGAAAATAAAATCATAATTATTCTTTTGACTGTGGACACTTGTGTTTCCTGATACGGAACAAGCAGTCCTTGGAACAAGGATGAAAACCTGGGTCACACCCCATCCTCACAAATGCTCTAACCACTAGGTTATAGACTTATGTCCCTTCTGTTCCCTAGTTCTGGCCCAATGAAACTGGAGGCTACTCTATTGTGCAGTTATTTCAACAGGAAAGGTAGAGAGCATGGAAAACACTCCCCACCTCAGAAATGTCTCTAACCTGGTAGTTAGAGCAGTCTCCAGGGAGGCGGGAGATGTGATTTTGAACCCCCTCATGCAGAGGATAGCATTGAACCCATGCCTCCTTACCTAGCGTGCATACTCAGAATGAATTGGCTATTGTGTAAAAGGTGGGACAGCAGTGCACCTTCTTCCTCTCTTCAGATATTAAAAAACATGGTAGCTGCTATTGTATTTTGTACAGAGCCAGATCTGGTAGGTATGCCCTCAGAATGGCCACTGGCACAGGCAATTGGTAGGGGGGGTACACGGAGGCACATGCCCCCCCCTGAGGTTGGCCCCTGACTTGGCACCACTCAGGACGGGGAAGTTTTTTTGCTGTGCGGGCCGGCCGCGTGTGGGGGGTGGCATTAAGCCACAGAAGTTTAGGAGTGAATACGGGGCTTTTGGTCCATCCCCGAGCCTGCCCACAAATTGTGCCCCCCTAAACTCAGGAGGCACCAGTCACCCCTGGCCCCTGGATCAAACTTCCAGAGTGGTTCTGGCACCTTATCAGGCTTAGGTGTGATCTGGGCGCTGAGCTGTTCACCAGAATTGAAAACGAAGCATCCAGGAATTCTACATGCCTCTAGAGTTAGGCAGCAGCTAGAGATATTCAAGGTTGCTGTTTTGGATTTTGGGGTCTAAATTATATCCATGTTCCATTATAAATGCTAAAGACTGTTTTTAGTGCTGACCATAAAAAAATAATATTGAATTCCTTACCTGAAAGGCAATAGTTCATTTAATGAGATGGGGATCTGAGGTGGGTTCTAAGTACAAAAAAAGTCCTCATTTCAGAACCTCCACCATGGGTGACGCCTGGCTGGGCACCTGATGCATACCATGGTCATGAACTGAATGGGCCATGGGCTTAAAGCTCTTCTGTCACCCATAGGTGGCCCTTAGAACAGGAGTCACATGATGTAACTTCTCTATGAATAAGCACAGTATTTCCATCTTCAGTTTACAATCAAGAAACTTTTACCTGCCCTAAATTCTCTTTATGTTAATGTCCCATTCATTGGATGAGGCCCAGCTTGCAGGCATAACTCCAAAAATATTCATATTGGTGTGGCTGAAGCTTCTCTCCTGCACTGTGATCTCTGCATGCAGACAGCGGGGTGGGCATAGAGCGCCATTGCAGTCAGTGTGGTTCCATGCTGATCACAATGCAGAAACTGAATGCAAGGTTTGGCTCTTACATGGACCTCTACTGAACCTTAAATGTAAATGAAAACAGATTTAGTCACATCAGTGCAAGTCTGTGTGTAGATGCAAATAGTTCAGAACACAAGTGGTTGTAACTGGTTTAAATAACTGAGCTTAGCTAAAAGGTGATGCTTATTTCTTTGTGAGGAACCCATTAGTTGATATTGTTTTAACCAAGGCTGCTTCCATTTTGATGGGGGCAGTGAAGATTTGCTGTGACTTGCAGTATTTGGTTTTTTTAATATATTTAAATTCTAATTTTTGCCTTAATTTTAACATTAAAGCTACAAATTTAGAATGAGATGAATAAGTGAGGGCTCTTTTATGGTATACCAAATGTACTTAAAACATTTCTCCTAGGTTGAGGAAATATTACTAGTTTGGACAGTATCCTTTATTAAATCCATCTCTTAAGATGCTAGAATCGTTTTTAGCACTGGAGAAACTAAGCATGACTGCTGTAAAATTAACTCTACCATGTGGCACAGACTGTATCTTTTATAGTACGCCTTAAGTAATAGAGCAGCTGCGTGCTACACTGTGCATTGAGAGAGTAAAAACAAAATTTAAGAAAAAGCTATGTTTTTGTAATTTGGCTCAGTTAATGTTATTGTAAGAGCCTGAAGGTTTTAATTTCTTCTCTTTGGCACATTTCCTGTCATCATTAGTCTCTGAGACCAGTTACAGTTAATCTGCATGTTCACATTTGATGTATACCTGATTTAGGGTTTATGAGCATCCCTTTAAACATCTCAAGGCCCAGTGTAGCATCTGGCATCACAACTCATTCCCACATAAATAATTATGTCATTGATGTCATAATCAGTGACTGGATCAGGCAGAAGGAGAGTATGAAGAATATGACAGAGAGATAGGATCCTGCAGTTGATATAATCTAAAAGCTACCAAGTGAAGAGAAGCTTCTTTGTGATTATAGTTTTGAGAATAGGCACTAATCTGGAGTCAGAAGAGAGCTGAGAAGAGGTTGGGCATTGGAAATGAAGTGAGTTAAACATAAAAATCTGGTATGGTAGCTCCACAGAACTGTTTCTCATTACAGAACAGGAAAGCATTAGAGGGAATTAAGTAAATCCTGATTTTATGTTCCTTGGGTTGATAAAACTGTTGGGATCTGTTTTTCTGTAGCCTCCACTCTGAGACCTTGTGAATATATATAAATGCACAATGCACATTGGGCCCCTCCAGAGGCATCTGTCATATGTATATATTCCAAATACAGACATCTGTCCCTCTCTCACATGCCCCTTAGTCTTGGGACCCAAACTTGTCAAGAACATTTTTCTTTCTTTCCTCCCCTTTCTTTATCCCTCCCTGTTTCTCTCCTCAGGAAAAAAGAGCCCAGACCTAGGGGAGTATGATCCTCTCACTCAGGCCGACAGTGATGAGAGTGAAGATGACCTTGTGCTCAACCTGCAGAAGAATGGAGGAGTCAAGAATGGGAAGAGCGCCCTGGAAGAGGTGCAGGACCCAGACTCAGATGTGGAGGTGGGGATGATGAAACAGCACCCCTCAGAGAGCACAGCTGAGAGGTACCCTGCAGAGGCTGCCATTGGCCTGGAGCAGAAGGCAGCCACCTCCTTGATGCCTTACTTGCGCACAGCGGTCTTTCTCCTCACCATGGTTATCTCTATGATTCTGGTGCTGGTCTGTGCATTTCTAATTCCTTGTCCTCCTAGGGATTTGCATAACACCTGGATGCACCACCTGGGTCAGGAAGCAGGTGAGAAATCCCAAGAAGCAGTAAATTTGTGGGAGCAGGGAAGGGCAGCTGGCAGGGTGTGTGCTGAAGGAGAGACCCATCTGAGAGAGTTTGCTTAGAGAACAGAAGTAGCGAAGCAACCCTTTCTTCACCACTGCAGATGCTCTGAAGCCACAGATAGGCACATGGCTGATGTGGCCTGCCTCTCTCTTTGGGGTGATACCTGCTAAACATGGTATGTTTCATGGGCAGTAGAAGGGCCAACAAAGAGATTAGTTTGCACACCAATAAAATAACCATTCTCTTCTGATTCTTTGCCTGCTTTACCCCTCAGTCTGTATGGGGTTAGCCATTTTGGAACTCTCTCCAAGTATAGATGGATAGTTCCCTTTGGACCCAGCAGCTCCTTATGTAAACTTACACTCCACAAGCTCCTCCTTCTTTGAGTGAGAGGTCTGTTCTTGGCTAGGGAGAGACATTAAATAAGCCTGAGCCTGAATTGATTCAATTTTTGCAGGTTAGGCTGAATCAGTTTGTAACTGGATAGGCATTCTCTCTGGACTGAGGAAATTTAGGCACATGCGTACAGTGGCTCAGGCTAGAAGCTGGGGCCCTCCCTTTCCTTCCAGAGTGCTGAGCTGAGGTGGTGTGTGACCAGGCCCTGGTAGGACCTCTAACTAGGGAGGGGTGTAAACCCCAACCCTGCTTGCACCTCCCAGGCTTTTCCCCATTGGCTGCTCGAGGGATGGAAGTGTTGCCAGTCCCCAGCCCCCTGCTAGCACTCTGAGGCAAGGGGTGTGTGCAGTGCATGCATCTGTTGGTGATACGGAGCTTTTCAATCTCCCTCTCCCTGCTTCTGTATACTGGCTGCAGCAAACAGACAGGCAAGCAATCTAGCAGGGGGCTGATAACAGTGTTTTACCTCATCAGCAAAACAATAGCCTCTCTTCATTAGTTCAAACTCGTCTTAAACAACTTACCAGCTGACCTGTAGATTAGCCCCAAAAAGCCCTAAGGGGTCACTGTTCTGTCTGCTTGTGCCAGTGAAATTGGAGGCACACACAGACATCCCTTGGCATTAGCTAACATACCACATGCCTAGGGTCTGTGAGGCTGGGGTCTGTGCTGAGGGAGGAGGGATTCCTGCTTCAGGTGCAAACAGACCCTGCTGTACCTTCAGTCTCTGCCGAGCTCCAGCCAGGGAGCAGAGGGGAAGGGCCAGCCCTGCTGTAGAGCAGGGAGCCTCGGCCAGCCCAGAGAGCATGCCGGGATGCTGGGGGGTCTGGTTTATCTTAAACCAGCAAGGGGTCTGAGAGAGACATTGCATATACTGGTTTGAGCCAAATCAGTTAAGTCTGATACTACATTCAACCAGGTTTATCTCAAACCAGTTTCAGCCATTTTCAAACTGGTTTATGTGTACTGAACATCTGTTCTGTTACAACTTTAAACCAATTTCTGATCATTTAAACCAGTTTATGTGTAATACCTGTTCCTAGCCTTTGTTTCCCCAAGTTAGCTAAAATAAGTTTATTTCCTTGGCATTTTTCTCTTCTAATTACATCCATAGATTAGTTGCATGTTCTGGGACATCTCTGTAAATAAAGTGAAAAGCAGATCTCTTGTCTCTATCAGATCTTGTGAGCTGTACTGTTTCTCTGACTTGGATGCTGTATTTCTGTTGTGTGGGAAGGGAAAAACAGCTGTTTCATTTCACAGATTCACAGACGTTTTGAGCTGGAAGGGACCTCATGAGATCATGGGGTCCAGCCCCCCTGATCTGGGCAGGAAAGACTGCTGGGGTCAAATAACCATTTCAGTGGTTTCCTTGTAGGTTCCACAGTGATTGGATGGTCAAGCCCTTTTCTTTCTTGCCAGTCTTCATTCCACAGTGGAGAATGGGGTTGGTGGTCATCTGATTGTAGCTTCTTGGGGTTTTGGACTGTTTCAGGTGGGGTACTGTTTCCACTGGAACTCTCTGACGTGAACGGTGATGGGCTTCCTGACATCCTGCTCTCCTTTGCTGCCCTGATGAATGCTAGTGTCATGGGTAAGCACACTGGCCTGTGTCAACTGTTGCTTTTGCTCCACCAAGAATGCTACCCTTGATTGTTTGTTAGGCCTTCCAACAGGGACCTATATATGTTCTCCCTTGCTGCCCTTTATGCATGAGAGAAGATCCTTTAGAATCTGCTAAGCCCCCCAGTGTAGTCACCTTTTCCATAATTCCTGTAGAAAGCTCCCTTGTGATTAGGTACCTGGTGCGCTTGTGCCTACTGCTGATCATGCTGTTCATAATCTCATTGGCAGCTTGTGTTCCCCTGGCTATTTGTTGCATGCACCTATTTTTTCTCATACTTAAACAATAAGTTTTTTGATACTAGGCCATCGTTTGTGCTGGGTTTGAGCCTTGTCCAATCTAAGGTGGTCTTTTGTCCCTGACTGAAGCCACAGTGGACTACCAAAATATTAACAACAAATCATCCCTCAGCTAGAGCTTTACGCCAGCACACCTTTACAAAGGGGAGATCAGGATTATTATCCCCGTTTTACAGATGGGGAAACTCAGATGTGGAGAGGCTGAGTGATTTGTCCAAAATCACTCAGCAGGCCAGGGGTTGAGCTTGTGAATGGGTGAGGACACATTATGTTGTGTATAAGATGATCTCAGGAAGGAGTGAATCAGAAATATCTTGAAACAACCAGTGCTAAAGCATTGCTGTGATAGCCATAGCATGAATATAATTAGCTAGGGCAGACATTTTCATTCCTTCATTAGGATGATGTCACATAAACCAGGCCCCACATACTGCATGACTAGCCAGTTTGTATAGCAAACTCCCTATAGCCTAAGGGATTCCATAGCAGCAAGTAAAAAACCCTATGGTACCATCATGTCAATTAAAAAAAATGAGGTTTTAATAAGTTAAACTTGAAAATCAATCATTCAGTCTGCAGGCTGGATGATTAATTGTCATTCATATTGTCATCACCTTCACCATCCGCCGAAAAGCTGGCAGATCAGTCAGCAACACGGAAGTCCTTGACTTCAAGAAAGCCGACTTTGACAAGCTCAGGAGGCTTGTCAGTGAGGCCCTAAGGGACCATGACCATGGGGAGAGGGGAGTTCAAGAAGAGTGGTTGCTCCTCAAGGGAGCGATCCTCAATGCACAAACTAAGTCTATTCCATCTCGGAGGAAAGGCAGCAAGAGGGCACAGCAGCCCCCCTGGCTCTCCAGGGACCTAGCAGACCTCCTGAGGCTAAAAAGAAAGGCCTACAAAGAGTGGAGGATGGGAGTCACCTCCAAGGAGGATTATTCTGCACTGGTCCGGTCCTGTAGGGAGCAGACCAGGAAAGCCAAGGCTGCAACTGAACTCCAACTAGCTTTGAGCATCAAGGACAATAAAAAGTCCTTTTTCAGATATGTGGGGAGCCGGAGGAAAAGCAGGGGCAACGTTGGACCCCTGCTGAGCCAGATGGGACAACTGACGCCCAGGAAAAAGCCAACCTATTAAATAGATACTTTGCGTCAGTCTTTCATCAGCCCCATGGGACGCCCATGCCCACTACAGGGCCGGGAAGTCCGGGTGAGGGTGATCCCCTGCCCTCCATTAATGCTGACTTTCTGAAGGAACATCTTGAGAAGCTGGATACCTTCAAGTCAGCCGGCCCT